AACTCGAATCGATCATTTCCAGCCGGTCCGTTCCGATCAAGCTTAGCGACACCGACTCGCGTCGCGACGAACCATGGCTCTCTCTATCTATCTCTCTCTCTCTCTCTTTCAAAAAGTCTGCAACGCTCGATTCGCGCACCGTGTCTGGGTGATTACGAATCTCGAATCCGAATCTCACTGACCGCCATTTAAGATAAAACAGATGCGCAACGCAATTAACATCTCGCTTCGATCCTTCTCGTGAGGTGCAGTTCGAGCGCAGATGTCATCCATGCTGCGAAATTATTGAAACCACTGAAACCATACGACGCGACTCAACTGCTAATCCCGCGATGTGCGACTGTTTCGACAAACCGGCATCGAACGCTTCGGCCTCCCGGCTGATTCGAAGCAACGTTCACGCAACACTTCGTCACTCACGGAGTATACGGAGTATCGGCTAATTTCACATCGTTCCGCGTTTGTTCCGTTCGCTGCCGAATCTTCCAGAATCGGCAATATCTTTCCAGAATCGGAAATAGATCGATCTTTCCAGAATCGGAAACAGAAGATTTCACTCTGAAGAAGGAGACACTCCCGAATACGAAGATCGAAGGGTCGGATTGACACTGTCACGCGTGAGAGTTCTTAACGAAGAGACATACGCATTATTCGGTGATCGGCGCGCGACTGAGGCGGGCGGTTGGTACTTTTGAAAGTGGGGTAGCGCGGCGCGCTACGTCACGCGACTCGTGCGCACGCGCGTAACGAACTGCTTCGCAGTTCGTCTGTTCGCCCCTCTTCGCTCTCGACCGCTCCCTTCCCCGCGGGCCGCATCAGCCGAATTTTCGACACGCCTGAGATGAGTGTGACCTCGCGCGCGACGTGTTGTATCCCTGTTAAAAACATAAATACGTACGTACGCATAGCCGAGTTCGGTAAACGATACGGACACGGGATTTAACTTCCGATTGGACGTTACGATCACGTTGTTTTCACATGTCTCTCCGGTTTTAGAAAACGAAAACTTTTTGAATTGATTTCCGATTCTCCGACAGATGAAAAGAATCTCCGACTAATCGCTGTAAATTTATTTGAGCTTCTTTTTTTAAAGAAAGTGATAGTGTACATATAACGTCGATTTACTTGTTTCAAATTGTTATATCTCGAAAAAAAAAATTTTTTTTGTACCAAAACGAAGTAAAATGTATTTTAACTTTTCATAGGCATACATATTTTTTTTTTTTTAATACTTCGTAAGCACTCAGGTTCTTTTTTGTTTAGTTGAAATTTTTTTATTATTCTAGGCTTTCAAAAAATTTTAAAACATTATTTTTCAACATCGCTGTTCTCTGCTACATTGTCAAAAAGTTATTTAATGTAAATATTAAAACCTACATTTTATAAAAATTGAAATTGAAAAGTCAGTCGGCTTATGAAAGTTAAAACAAAAAGTTAATTCTTTTAATACACATTAACAAAATTCAGAAAGAAAATTTTCTGATATTACAATATCAGAAAACTCTCAAAATCACAGCTTTCGGATCTTTTTGATATCATTTGTTTTATAATTGTTACGTAAAAAATTTTCTTAAAATTATGATAACCAAATTTGGAAAATAGATTCGTGTTTAACACTTAAAATATTATAGAAAATTCATTCAGATGATTCGAAAGTGTAAATTCGCTGGTTAATGTAATTATTGATCCAACGCTCGTAGTGCAAATAAAATAGACTAATAAACTGAATGAAATAGTCCTGTGTACCATTTTACAATTTTCGCAGTAATTAACGAAAAGTTAACTCTCCATCAACAATGTCCATCAAAATTTTCATGCTTCGTCCTCAGCCTTTAAACTTTTTACAGATTTTTATATTGTTCCGAACTGCATAAAAATCTGAAAGAATTTTTACATATTTATAAAAGCTAACAACGAATTGTTACTATCAGAAATTAGATTGTATTTTATTTATTTTTTATAGATTTAAATTTATCTTCTACATTTCACAATCAACGAATCGACTACGCCTTTAAAGTTCAACATTGTCGGCGAACGACAAAAATTTTCGAATTTAACGTCTGCACGATTCAATAACAAAAGATAACTCAACGTTTTCTAGATGCGTGACGTGGCAGTAAGAAGAGCTTTCTCTGTAAACAACAACGTGTCGATCGTGCAATAACAATTTTTTTTTATAGTACATCTCTTTACACACTACCAAGTCTCGCATTTATTGTAAATGCTTTCCATTTAGTAACACAAACATCGTTCTACATATCTTCCTTGATATTGTAAATAACAAAAATAAAACACTTGTATCGATTTGTATCACCAAATGGAAAGCATCCTGAGCTGTCTTTTGTCTTTTTTCGCATACTAATTAGCAGATTCGATTTTTATTAATTAATTTTTCGTTAACTATTGCGAATCACAAAATGATACAGGATTTATTCAATTTTTTCAATTTAGTTTATACAATTTAATCCATTCTGTATAAATAACTATCAGACACCCCGTATAACAAGAATCAATAGCTGCATTCAGCAGAAAAAGCAGCTTAGCGAATGTTGTAAGATTCTTTAAATTTTAAAAAATTTGTTTAATATGATTATACGTTTAGATCTAGCAACTAAGAGCAAGATTAATCAAATTAAAGAATTTTATGACAGTGCAAGGTGAAAAGCTGTCTTTTCTGTTGGTACAGAGAATGGAAGCAAATGAAGCAAATTATCTCGTATAAAGCATATGTGTATATACTTCCTCGGCTTCCTCGTAATTTCCGATATGTAACAGCGGTTTGTTAGGATATTGGCATCAGTTATATGACGCAGTGAGCGCTCGCCTGTTTTGATTTAACTAGTAGCGGTTCCCTCGCGCCAATTTCACGGCGTCTCGTTTCGCTGTACGCTTCGCGTTCACGTCTCGGTTTTCCACCTTCATTGCGTTTACGTCTGCCGGGAGTACCGAGTCAAAAACGACCCGTCATTCGGATTAATGGATACACGACAGCAATTAGAACATCTCTTGATTCACAACCGTTGCGGTCTCGCGAGAGGCTGCCGCGCCGCGCCACCCGCTCGCGCGTAACAGTGTGAAGTTGCTGCTCTCGAATCTTTCCGTTGAATGTACGCAGTACGCGACGCGAACGAATGTAATGGGGCGAGACATCGCGTCCTACGATCACCGTGCCGTCGCGTTGTTTACGCGTTTCAAATATGTATGTCGCAGTTTCGTCGGGAGTAACGACGCGGCGAACGATTACCATGACGCGTTAATTAAAACCGCGGAGTCACGATTATAACCGCCTGTTCAATCGATCTGCATCCACGCGAGTGAGTGTCTGAAACGGTTAAGAGTGAGGCAATGTCGACGTGTCACATCATTTGGTAAGTAAATCCATTTACTGTATTAATTCGTTAATTTTGTTAACAATAACTTGATGCTACGTCATACGCGCTATTACGTTTGACTCACGGCATGGTACAAAGATGGTAGTTTTCAATGTTTGTAATTAATCTTTATGTAGATAGGCGGTTTAAGGTTATTTTAATATTTGTGGCAAATTGATAGGTGCTCAGAGCTCCCTGAAACATTTTAATTTATTTTATAATTATATTTATAATTATTATTAATATAATTATACATAATTAATATAATTATACATATGATATAATTATATATATAATACATATTTTTTAATTATATTTTTTACTAGCATATTATGTTACAGTTAAATTTACATTAATTACATCCTTATGAAAAAAATGTAAAAATAATGAACTTAAGATCTTTTGATCAATTTTTTTGAACAATACTTTATATTTTCCTTTTCTAAAAGATTTTAAAGAAAATTATATCTGGGATACTATAGCCCACATGGAAAAAATAATTATACTAAAATATTATATCTAAAAATTTAACTAGATACAAATTTAGAAATCATATTATTGGACAAACAGAATATTTATATAGAAAACTCAAGCATGATGAGCATTGTTAAACAAATTTTTGCAATCAGCTTGAGTGTTCTACATAATTACTTTTATGATCTAACAAAATTTATTTACAAATAATTGCAATTTTCTTTGAGAGTACATATATATGATTAAAAAATATCAATTTTTCAAATGTTATATTTCTTAATCTATAGATTTTATTTTTTACGAATTATATTAATTGTTATGAATCTTGTGGAGAATTATAGTTTTTAGTATTATTTTTCTAAATTTCATTCTCTGTATGTAACTTTATATTTAAAGTTAATAACATGCAAAAAATTGGAAAGATAGAAATAAAAAACGATATCAACGTTTAAAGTTTTACGATTTTGCGACTGCGAAATTGACATTTAAAACATGATGTTCTATAGAAAAAAGTTTAACACAGGCTAATCTGATACACTGTAACAGAGTAATCCGATACACTTTTCCGATGTACATTCATCGGAAACCAATATTTCTTAAATCTCATAATCTGTTTAAAATTATATAAGTGAAATATTTCATAATTATAACAGACTAATTGGAATACATAATAATAATTATAATAATTAGGATGTACCTATAATTATAATATAATTTATTTATAGTATATAATATCAGAGATAGCAAAGAATTTATTATTTGTAATGTCGCTACTGTTACCGTTACTTTTTTATAATAATTTGATAATGACATTACAATTTTTTACGAAAGTAATAATAATCAGAATTGGATTACTTTTGAAAAGAACGCTTAATAATAATGAATTATTTTCAAAAGTTATTTTTTCAACATTATCATTATCGTCATGAAAAGTTGTAATACCCTTACCAAATCATTATTATAAAAAAGTAAAGACAGCGGCGTTATAAATAACACGTTACTTGCTACCTCTATCTAATAAAATGTATCATAATGAATT